TTGAGGAGAGGAAGAGATAAGGAGATGTACAAGTTTAGACTGACCTAAACTACTTTAATGAAGTAAGGAAATAATGCAATGGATACAATATATACAAAACTGTATCAAGCTCCCAGTATGAAGTCACTGGCAGGCACTGGGGAAGTCCCAGACTGAACTCAGTGAGGGATGGGAACTGGGTTCCAGCTCTGGAGTCAGGGACACACAGATGGGGACCAAAGGCAGATGGACAGACAGAGTCCTCTTTGGACATTGGCCATTGAAGAAAAAGGGCTGACCCTTTCACTGAATTTCACTGAATTTTAGAGTTGAATTTTAGAGCATGTTACTCAGGAGCATCCAGGCGGGTCTTGAAAATCTCCAAGGAAGGGGACTCCACACCCTCCCTGGGCAGCCTGTTCCAGGGCTCTGTCACCCTCACCGTGAAGAAGTTTCTCCTCATATTTGAGTGGAACCTCTTCTGTTCCAACTTGTGCCCATTGCCCCTCGTCCTCTCACTGGGAACCACTGAAAAGAGTCTGGCTCCCTCCTCCTTCAACCCTCCCTTTGATCCCTCAGCTTTTATACTGAGCATGGAATACCCTGTTGGTCAGGTTTGGGTCACCTCTCCTGTCCCCTCCTCCCCACAGGTGGGACCCCTCTACGCTTTTTCCATTTCCAACCCTCCAACGGGGCAAATAACAAAATTAGTTATATTAGCCACGAGTATAAGCAAGAGCCTCTCTGCACACCGTTCCTTGGCGTGAAGGACAAACATTGCTCTTAGCACTCTGAGAAGGAGCAGTTTTCTCCACAATATGCTGCTAATTTCAGAGTCAGAAGAGGCCTGGCTAAGACGTCAAATTACTGAGCAGGAAGTTGGTTCTGTTTTACTTCAAACCAGGACAAAACTTCAGTGGCTTTCCATTAAAACTGCCTTTTTTTTAATTTTTATTTTATCTGGTGTAAGCGGGGGGTGTGGGTGGCGCACAGATGGCGAGAGGCTGCGGCACAGGACGTGCCTGATGAGGCAACGGCGCTAATGACATGGCGAGACGGGTAGATCCGCCTCAGCCACAGCCCCCAAATTACACAATGCCGGCTGCTGTCCCTTTTACCACAGCTTATTCCCAGTTATTTCCTGGTAAGTTGTATCTCAAATATTTAACTTCACACTCCTAGGGCAAGCAGTCCTCTTTCCAGATTTCACTCAGCAAATCACAAGCAACCAGCTCACAGTAACTTGGCAGAGGCTGGAAATTAATTTATGTTGCTGTACGCCATGCAGGGCTGGTGTTGTGTGTCCCTGTTAGGCCTTTGAGCCCTTTGTTCTTGCTATTTCTTGTGCTGGAGGCATCTGCGTTTTGGAATTTGTTCTCTCATGATCAGCTTCAAGGCTTCTCTCAGGGCTTGCATCATCTCACAGAGAGTTAGAACAGGAAAGCGGTTTGTTTTTATTTTTTCCCCATAGATCTATCGAATTTTTCAAAAAGCGTTTTTGAGTGGTGCAGCACAAAGCCCAGTCATGCGCTTATCACTGCTGAACACCATCCCAGGGCTGTGGCTCTGCGTGGACGGCATGACCCTTAACGTCAACCTCTGGAGGAAGAAGGAAAACCCCCGTTTTCTGTCAGGGGGGCTGGAGGCGCTTTCAGCTCCCCAGATACTGCTTTCTCGGACCCCGGGAGCCACAACGCCGCCCGCCTTCCCTCCGCGCCCCCTCAGAGCCGTTTCACTCCCCGCTCGCCTTCCCGCCCATGCGCATGCGCGGCCGCTTCACCGGCGGCGCGGAGGGTTTCCGCGCAGGCTCCGTTCCCGCGCGCGCTGGGGGGCGGTGCCATCGCCACGTCGGGCCGGGCCGGGCCGTGGGGGGCGTCCGGGAAGATGGCGGCCGCCGGCGTGAGGGGAGCCCCGGCGGGCAGCGCTCTCTGCCTCCTGCTGCTCTGCGGCTGGGCCCTGACGGCCCGCGGACAAGAGGGCTCCGGTGAGCACGGCGGGGGG